AAAGTTTTTTTTTGTGGGTTTTTTTTGGGGGGGGGGGGATAATGGGGTTCTAATGTTTTACCCTGTTTTCACAAAATGCTGTGCTTCTGTATCAAAAGTACTTACTGAAGTGCCTTTAAATATCTTTAAAGTAGGGAGTACTTATGAATGGAATATGGAACTTTGCACATATGTACAGCAAATTTTTCCCTTATTGGTCTTAATCTTACTGTGGGATTGAGTGCCTGCTTTGAGACTTCCATAGTGGAACAAATTACTAAATTACTTTAAAGTTATTTGACCAACCTTTCTTCCTGCATTTGAGCAAATGTTAGGTAGCTATACTGAATGCCTCGTTTATCCTGCAATATTCTCTGCTGTATTCTTTGTGAATTCTGTGGAAAGTCCTTCCCAGATGAAACACTGGAGGACTGCAGGAAGATGATTGAACAGAGCAATACTACATGTGTTCGTATCTAAATCTGTGGATATCCATGTAAAATTCGATGGATAATCTGACTAAGAGCCAAGTACTCTATGTCATCTAGGAGATATTCTGAAACTTACAGGGAAAACCCCATAGACTTTCTCTGTTGGTTTATGTTGAGAAGCATCTAAATAGCCAGCTCTGTCTCTTTTCCTTAAAGCGTTTTTTCCCGTTGCACTTCATTACAGCAACAGCTGTAAATACTTCCCTCTTTAGAACATCTGATCCTCGAGCCATTACATTTTTTCCCCTCGTACACCTGTGCCTGCTAGATGAGCCGTGCAAAATCTTTGAGTTAAGCTCTGGCACAAGGTGTACTTTAGTGAAAACTTAATCTTCCATGTATCTGTCAACAAAATCTGACCAAGCTGAAACAGCAGATTGAGTTCAGATGCTGTTTTACTTTAATTGCAGAGAAGTGCTATGGCAGTATATGAGTCATAAGAGTACTCCTTTGTATCATGGAAAAACGTGTTTGTGCTTGCCAAAATGTTAAATAAGCCTGTTAATAAAAGGCACGCACACGTTTTATCAAACAATAGTGCTTTTCCCCTTAAATAATGTTTTCTAAGTATATCACCGGTGTTTGTCAGAGCTGAACAGTGATTTTTTTCTTTTTATATCCCTGTGTACTTGCCTCCCTTTTAAGAGAGGCTTTATGAGGTTAAGAACTGTGGGATGAGGGTGGCTCCTGACCAAGTTGGCCCCATGTTTTTGTTGAGAATTTTCTTAGTATCCCATGTTTTCCAGATCATCGCATGGCCTCTCTGTACAGCAGCGTAAGAGTCTGGTGCACAGAAGGAACTTAGAAATTCATTGCCTTCGGAAAACACTTTCACCCTGTGCACTGTTCTGCGTTTGTCCCATTTAAACAGCGGTCACTATCTCATTCATCGTAATCAATGTTGGTTGGGAACCACGTGTCTGTTGTTTTTCTCCCTTACCATTCATTTGTTTTTATTTTATCATTTCATTTCCTCAGGGGTGGTTCGTGCAGAGCAAAAGAATCAGACATTTTATGATCTGGGTATCTTTGATGATGGGCCTTACGAAGTTGGTGACGAGAGCCGCCAAGATAAGAATCTAGTTCCTGTTCCAGCTAACAGTTACTTAGGTAGGATGAAGTGTATATGGTAAATCTCTTTAGGCTTCTTAAACATTTGCGATCCCAGTCTGGTGCAATGATATGAAATGGGAGCAGAAAATTCTTCATTTGTGGACCCTGTAACATGTTATCCGTTCTGGCTAATTCAGATCTCCCTCTGCTTTAAGTGTAAGGTGACGCTCTGCTGAGGTACCCAGAAGAGCTGCTAAATGTAATGGGGGATTAAAGAGCTGTGAGGAGGACGTACAGATTTTCAGGGAGTGATTCCAATGGCTCTGATGTAGGGTGTGTGAAGCAGGGTGTGTGGCTCTGCAGTCCTTAGTCACGAGGTCTCTGCCATGTGGTATCAGAAGGTTTATCAAAATCTGAGTTTCTGGATGTAACTGTTAAGACTGCAGTTTCTCTCTCCTGGTAGGTGAGTGCAATTTTTTTACTCTTCAAGTTTTTAAAACTCCAGTGGCCTTTTTACAGGCCTTTAAAATAGCATCATATGAGCAGCATTTATCTTTTAAGCATGTGTGTGTTGCAGGAGGTGTCTTTTGCACTTTGTGCATGCGTGAAAGCAGAACTACGTCCTTAGGCCAGTGGATGTTACCATACACCAGTGAGATACGTTGGTGCAGAGAAAAGGCTACGCTGCCTTTGTGGAAAGGCCTCGAGTGTAAGGTGTAAAGAGCCTTTCTGTTCTAGTGCAGATTTCTGTGGTATATCGAGCCGCTGCTTTTGGCATATGCAACAAATACGATTGTGGTAACTTGAAACTGGAATTTCCGTGTGAGTGGTGGGAAGCTGAACAGATGGGAAGGGCATTGCTAATGTAAAAAGTGAAAACAAGTCAAGAGAAGAGCCAGCTTAGAGCCCCCTATCTGTCAGAAGAAGCAGAACATAAACTTCTATTAAATATCAGCAGTAATTACTGGGGGGGGGGGGGAAGAATTCTACAAGCTTACGTTAGAGAGACAGGCCGATAGCCTCCCCTAGGGAAGTAAGTATTGGTGAGGTGGGGAGCGCTGTGGAGGTGTCTTGCTGTGACCGGAGCGATACTGACTTATTGCAGTTTCATAACAGCTGCATTTTATCTCCTCAGTGTAAATGCTGCCTTTGATTTGTCATGGTAAAAACTGCTTTCAGGCAAGCCCGTTGCTCACTGGCATTGCTGTTCCCTCTCTTCAGCCAGTAAATAAACGTGGTTGTAGCTGCTTTGCTTAACTGCTGTTTTTTTCTTTTCAATCTTTCACTCGTGTTCACAGGTCTTCTGTTTTTGACAGCTGTATCTGATACTCATCCAGATCAGTTTGTGTACAAAACATTGCCCCCCGGCACACAGGTGGACAAACCGGTGGATGTAATGATGAATAGCTACTTAGGTTTGTGACCACTTGAGGTGGCAGCATCTGGTCAAACACAACCTCCAGACCTTTGACATGATCCTCTCCCCTCCGCCCCCCTCATCTCAAACACATTATTGCAAGTGAAAAGCATGTGAAAACAGGGGTTTGGATGAAGAGCAGCTTGTCAAATAACGTGGCTTCAGAGAAACACTGATTTGTCATGCGTTTCTCCAAACCCTCTCATCCTGCCCTGCCCGCCCTCCCCGCCCCCCCCACTATGGGGCTCCCTGAATTTTTCTGAAACTGTCTCATTGCAAATTGCTGTAATTGAGAATTGTCATAGTGGTGGTGAAGTGTTTCAGAAGGGAGATTTCTGTCTGCTGGCTGTGCCTTTCTTCCCTGCAATGAGCCTAATTTTCTATTTCGGCCTGTACTGGGCATGTTGCTATGTGCAGTACGTTCTTTTAACTCAGTTTTTCGTTTTTTAAAAGGCGTTAACCTTTACGAAGGATACATAAGACTAAATTCATTTGAATGTGTCCTGTGGGGCTGTATTAAATCAAAATTGCCCATTTCACCATTACTGTGTAAGGTGATTCTCAAGTACGGTATCCCCCCTCATCTGTGTGCAGCACTGCGCTTGTGCAGAACGTTTTGCATGTTTGCAACAGAATGGTACCGACTGATACTTGGGAATTTTCGTAACGATTTTGGCAGAGGTGTAATATGTGAGCTATATTCAAGTGGTAAGGTGTGGTCATTTCAAAGCTGATATGGTTAAAAATGAGCTTGTATTTGGTGTCTGTGAAAGGCAGATCTGAGCGAGCAATGAAATAATATGTTTTGGGGGAAATACTTCAGTACAATGTATGGAGGCACGCAGACTCATAACCAGGCATTCACCGGTCCAAACAGAAAAGGGTATCATCAGCGTATCACATCACCAATCAAAAGGGTGTCCCAGTACTTCCTGTTCTAGAGAAAACTTCTGCTCAGTACACCACTTTAATATAGTAGGGGAATTTGTTTTTCCTATTAACAATACAAGCCATTAGTTTGTTTGCTTATATTTTCTTTCTTTCTCTGTTAAAGGTTTCTCTTTGGACTCCGGTAAAGGAATTGTCTCCCAAGATGAGATGACTTTTGTGTCTGGCGCCCCAAGAGCCAACCACAGCGGAGCAGTTGTCTTACTGAAAAAAGAAAAAAATCAGAGGGCGCTTTCACTGGAGCACATGTTTGAAGGCGAAGGGCTGGCCTCCTCTTTTGGCTACGATGTTGCTGTTGTGGATCTCAACAGTGATGGGTATGGCCTTGGTTATCTCCTGCTGCCCCTACGACAAAGGATGCCAATCTGGTTTAATTCTGCATTGGTTTTTCACGTTAGAAATACAAGGAATGCCAAATCCCATCTTCTGTGTTTTGCTGGAGGAAATGGCGAGCATCTCGGAGAACCACTCAGGACACACGTCTGCATTTCTAATTATAGAAAAGAGTTTATTTAAATTTAGACAATTAGTGTAAACAAAGAAGAAACGAATCACATAGGGAAGAGGCCGAGTCCCCACCCCTGGAGGTATTAAAAGCCATGTAGACGTGGCGCTTAGGGACATGGTTTAGCAGTGGACTTGGCAGTATTAGGTTAGTGGTTGGACTTGATGCCCTTAAGGGTCTTTTCCAACCAAAACAATTCTGTACCCCAAGCAGGCCCTACAAGATCCTTGTGTGTCACAAAAGAAATGTAATCAGCATCAGTGGGACTATTGTTGCTCAACTGGTTTAACGCGGGTTTTGGTCTTTGTTCAGCAGCTCTCTGGCTCGCTGACCTTGACGCCACAGCTATTTTTCACAGTTCTGTAAGAGCGCTGCTTTTTTCCCTTTCAGGTGGCAAGACATTGTTGTTGGAGCCCCGCAGTATTTTGACAGAAGTGGAGATATCGGTGGTGCTGTGTACATCTACATTAACCAGCGAGGCCGATGGAAAGGCGTAAAACCAATTCGCTTAAATGGAACCACTGACTCCATGTTTGGTCTTGCAGTTGAAAATATTGGGGACGTTAATCAGGATGGATACCCAGGTGAGTGGGAAATGATTACAATAAAAATGTGTGTGGCTTTTTCTGCTAATGCCAGAGTGGGAACATCTCACCCTTACCGTGATTGCACGCTGCGGAAAGACCAAGAATGATTTTAAATGTCGCAACTTATTTTCAACAGATATTGCAGTAGGGGCTCCATATGACGGTTTTGGCAAAGTATACATTTATCATGGATCCAAGGATGGAATAAATACAAAACCAGCGCAGGTAATGGAATAACCTTTATTATGTATAATTGGTCTTTCGCAGAACTACGGGAATGACAAGGCTACCCATCCTCTCCCTTTCCATGACTATCAGTGGAGCACTAGGTCTGCAGAAAAGGCACAGGACCTTTCCAAGGCTGCACTCACCAGAAAGATCAGGAATTCTTGATGTTAATCCACATTTTTCTTTCTGGGGCAGTCCTTTGGCACCAATAACATGTAGAGAAGGAAAAAGGCATGTAGATGTGTTAAGTTTCGGGTTTTTGAAAGGAATGTGGGGATTTGAAAATTAGTTCTTCATTTTCTCTTTCACTACTACTTCACTTTCTTTTTTAATAAAAAAAGTTTGTGCTTTTATTCTGTTTTTTCTCAAGGATCACTGTGTTCAGTCTGCAAGGTGAGAACGGAACTCGATGACACTTCTAGCATACTGTTAGAATAACGTCCTTGAATACTTGTTCAGTTTCAAGTGCCTCTACGGCATTAGTCCTATAAATAAAGATAAGCTAGGCAACAGTGCTGTGCAAATCAGTCATTTCTGGCACTCACTGCTCTGGCAAAGTAACTTCTTGGAAGAAAAGCAAATCGTCTTGGTGCTTCAGTGTTGTTTACCCCAACATGGGGTCCCATTTCCTTCTGTCTCTTTTTTTTCTATTTTTTTTTCTCCCCCCCCCCCAGGCCATAAGACAGTGCTGTTCACTTGTTATTTATTTCACTTTTACAGTTTTTAAATGTCTGAATTCCCTCAATCTGTTTGCTCTTTAGATTCTTGACGGTGAAAAAAGGGGCACCAAGTTCTTTGGTTACTCTCTTGCTGGAAACATGGACCTGGACAAAAATTCCTACCCTGATATTGCTGTTGGCTCCCTTTCAGATTCTGTATCTGTGTTCAGGTATCACACATGGAACTGTAACTGTAATTACACCAAGGTTTTGGGTTTAATTTTTTTACAAACTGCTTAGAAGCAACAAAAAGCTGTTTGGCCTGGAGTGTATTTTTTCTTCTAAAAGTTGGAAATTCTGGAGGGGTACCCCTCCCCCCCCGCCTCCATGAATTGGTTTGTTAACTTTATCCCCCTCTATTACTGGGCAGCTGCCTTACTACCGATACAGCGTGAGAGGGTGGATGTGGACAGTTACTGCGAGTGCTGATGTGTGCGGTGCGTCTGTACCCTGGCTTTGCCCTGCGGTAACTTACTTGGCTGCCCGTGTCCTTTGATGGAATTAAGGGTCACAAGTAATTCTTTTGCCTTAAGAAAGCAGAAATTAGCTGCTACATTTGCTAGACCTCTTGTTTGCTGCTGTTGTATAAATCTAATCCTGCTTTATTGAAGATAGAACCAAACCAAACCCCTCTTTTGTAGGCGAGGATCCAAAAGCAGTGAGGCATGTGGCCTTGCTGAGGTTGCAGTGGGGTCCACGAAACAGCTGTGAGGAAGCCCTGCAGATGGGATCCTTTGGATTTCTGTAGCACATGCCTTCATTGGGGATGAGGTCACGGTCTATCCAGACCTCTGCTGCTTTCCCAGTTCAATGTACTATTAAGTTGAATCAGGAATAAGGAGCAGGAAGAGGACGTCTCCTCATCAGAGCTGTGAATGCTGCAGCGAGTTGTCTTTGGTGGTTGCTGCCAGGTCCCAAAGGAGGAGGAGGAGCAGCAACTCCCAAACTGGTTAACTCAATTTTGGGGATGAAAACAACTCTACCTTTCAGGCAGAATGACCTTCCCTACAGTTTCTTGATGGTTCCATCTCTAAGGTGTATAGTGTCTGTGTACGTAATTGGAATGTTCTGAAATACACTGAAACAGCAGCCAACAAAAGCAGCTCATGTTGCTGGCGGAGAGTAGCGTAGGTGGCATGGAAGCTGGTTAGATTACTAAGTGTTCTGCTTACTCAAAAGGAGCTTTGTCAGTTGCTAAGGGCACTTTTACAAAGGTGAGAAAGAAAACCCTTACGGTGAGAAACAGTGAAAGGGTTAAAAGAAATTTGCTAGAAGAGGAGGAGGTGGCTGACTGACCTTTTCAAACACCCCTTAGATGTTTCTCCCAGAGCAAGTGGGATCAGGTCATTCATCTGTTCACGTGAACTGTCTTGTCTTCTCCCTTCCTAAAAGAAAGAGAAAGGAAAGGTTGTCAGGCTGAATTACAGTTACAGCCTACATGCAGAGGAGTCAGGAAATGAGAACACTGTTTCCCACAGCCAGCCAGGCTCCACGTTAAAGCTGTTGGGAACATTAATCTGAATGAACTTCAGTACCTACAAGTTGTTCCCAGGGGCTGAATTACCACTGGGGTGGGAACCATCACTCGGAATTTTCTGATTTTCGTATGTGTAGAAAATTACAACCACAACATCACATTAATGTACCCTGCTCCCTGTCAGGCATTTCATACAACCGTAGTCAGTTTTTGTGACTTGCTCTGCTTAGCTTTAAGTAGTTTTGTTTCTCACCGTCATCAAAGCCAAACTCTGTGTTTCTTGGGGTGTCTTTGTTGCAAATCAGCGCCGGCATGGAGGGCATATGGGATTATTTAATTAATCTTAACAGAAACTTCTTTTTTTACCCCTTCTTTTCATTCCCCGTTTTTCTCCCACATGAAGATCTCGGCCTGTGATAAGCATTAGAAGCAGGATTACAGTACAGCCTGAGAGAATCGATCTAAAGAAAAAGAACCCTGAGGACCCTAGTGAAATATGGTAAATTTAAAAAAAATTATTATATCGAAGCCTTGGTGTATTGAGCTTTATGTTGTCAAAATTCGTTCCATCAGTGATGATGTTAAAGTGAAGGGATGTGACAGGCGGGCAGGCTAAGCAAATGTATCTACACATTACCATTTTGACTTCCTGACACGACTACTGTGCTAAAGACAGGGTGTGGAGTATGTTCTGGTCATCATGGCCATTTTTGAAAACGAATGTCACTGTGCCACTTAAGACTTAACACTTACGCATATCTTAACTGAAACAGCTTTCTCATGAGTAGAATTCCAAGAGCAACTACCAGAAAATACTTTTTCTAATTGCTTATTAATCATGTTTTCTTGCTGTCTAATTCAGTTTAGCAAGCAGCAAATTACTGTTCTGGCATGAAACCTACAGTCATGAGACTGATAATAATCAGTCAATGGACTACGAAAACTTTTCAGTCTGTTGGACCATGCCTTATTAAAGTTAATATTAATTTCTTGGTACTTCTTACAGGATCGATGTGGAAGCATGTTTTCAATATACTGCAAACCCCAGTGATTTAAATCCAAGGATAAGTAAGTTTTGAAGAGACATATTTTTGATCTGTTTGTCAAGTGGTTGGTTCTTTGTTTTTTCTTTAGACCGTCTCATGGAAGAACAGCACACAAATTATAGTGACTCATCTCAGGCTGTGACTGTCAAATTTAAAATGTGACTCAGTACCAAGGTCAATCAGCTGTTGTGCTCTCTGTATGCAGAGCAGCAGGTATTTAGAGTCATGCTGGTGTGTTAGGAAGTTCTGTGGGTGACAGACTGAAACAAAGCTTTCTAGGTAATAAAACTGCCAGTGAGCAAATGTTTGCTATACAGCCAAAGAATGTTTTGCCTCTCTAGGTTACTGCTGCTTTAGAAAATAGTTTTAAAAGCCCGTTTTATATATCATTAGTAGGCGTTATTTCTGATTGGAGACTTACCCTATAAAAGTGTTCTGTATTCATGAAAATGGTTTTGTGGAAATCAGTAACTGAAATAAAAACCCTTTGTATTAATAGGAGCCTGGAAGACTGGGCCATAAGTATAGTTAAAAATGTGAAGTATTAGTTTCTCATGGCTCCTGTTTTTTTCTCTTGTAACAACACTGCTGTTACTACACCTCAGAAAACTGCAGGATTTTGAGAGGAAACGAGAAGCATTTTAAGCCCAAACTTCCTTCTCCTCTAGTGTTGTCTTGAGTTTCTCAATTTCTTGTAAAATCCATGGGATATGGCCCTGGTCCTTCAACAGGTCAAGCGCGTCCAGCTCTCAGGCGGCTCACGTGTGCCCGTCTGCGTGCTCCCGAGGCCTGGCAGGTTGGGCGCTGTTCCCAGCCTTGCAACATTGAATTAGCTTGGTGACTACAGAAATGATTAAAAGATGCAGAGTTCATCTATCAAAAACATGCCTCAGCATACAGCTGGGAAGCTCTAGTCCCACTTTTGCTTTCAGTGTTGCAATTAACACAGCGCGCCTTGGCCTCAAAGTCCTGCTGGCTGCTTAGGTGCTATTTGGGACAAAACAGAAATCCAAGGACAGAGTCAAGAGTATTTGCAAAGTTTTGTATCTCAGCCCTCTGCCGGCTCCACAGTAGCAATTACAGCTCCTCCAGCCAGCTCTGCGTGCCGGTGAGGTAATGGGGTACTCCTGGAATGAAAGGATTTGGTTTAGAAGTTTCCTTTAGAGACATGCACGGGGTACCTGGCGCTCAACTGGAGAGGGACAACTGACAGATGGAGAAAGTTTTGTAAATAACTTGAAAACAGTTTGTGAAGCCCAGCACTGGCTGAAACGGTCTTCTAGAATAATGTTGCAAGATCCGTACCTGGAGAAATTGAAGTTCTTTTTAATAAGGCAAGGGTTCTTTTTTATAGTGACCTACTTTATTTCTTCATACAGAGATCAACTATACATTTGAAGCAGAAAACGAGAGGAGGCAGTTAGGCCTGCCGTCTAGGGTACGGTTTAAAGACCACCTGTCTGATCAGTTTACTGCAAGTACAACCCTAAGGGGGCAGAACTCACAAGAGTGTGTGACAACCAAGCTTGTACTGCAGGTAAGATAGAGTATTTTATTTTTACTTCATTTAGATCCATTTAAAACAAAAGCATGCTTTTTTTTTTCCCCCCCAGCCTCATGGTACATTTGTATATAACTTAAAAGTTACGTGCAATATAAAACTAGTCAAAACTAGACAACCACCATAGTTAAGTAGTGCCTTACTATTCTCTGCACACCTGCTGCTTCCTCCTGTTGCCTTTCTTACAAAGTATGAATAAAAGTTGTAGCTAGTGCAGCATGCTCTGGAGGTCAACAGAGCTGAACAAATTTAGAACAGAGAGGGAATGAACTCCCAAAATGGAGCGCTGTTTCCAGCAGAAGTAATTGTTACAGAATTTAACAGTGTGACTGGCTAGGAAAAGAATTTTAGCCCACAGGTTTGGGAGGGGATGAATGAGCAGGACAATAGAGCTTGGTATGCGCTCTCTGTCTTGGCTGCCAGACTGACCCTTAAAGGTGGCATAGCTCCAGGAGCAGAACAAATCCTCTATCCGCATCTCGGCAGCAATGAGCCAGCCTCCAAGGCTCCTTTTGACCACGGCAAATTAAAGAGCTTGAACTTCTGCAGCAGGGAGAGAGTGTGTTATTTTACTGTCGGAGCGTGAATTTCACTTGCCTCGGTTACCACCTGTTGTTCCTAGGAATTCTTAATGGCGAGAGAAATCATCACACTGGGAAGCCAGAAAAAAAGACAGACAGTAGGGCTCGGCTCCTTGTGTTCTTGCACGTTTTCAGAAAATGCTGGGTTTCTATATAGCGATAGTTTTAATGCTGCTTGTTCTAAAATGTGTATCAAAAGCTCGTCTTTGTGTTGTTTTTTCTTCTCTGTGCTGTACACTAATTATGCCATTTAAAATACTTTAACAGGACAAAATTAAAGATAAGCTACGGCCCATTCCGATATCAGTCAGCGTTAAAATTGCTGGCCTGGAGTCTAGCTTACCGTCCAGCAGAAAAGAGAGAGCGCTTCCGGATCTTATACCAATTCTAAATTCAAATGAATCTGAAACAGAAACCACAAAAGTAAGCCTTTCATACTATGTTTTCCCATAAATCTGCACTTTGATAAATCACTGAATTTTAAAGACTGTAAAGCTAAATTATGACCAAAGGAAAAAACTGGGGTGGCACTGGACTTGTAACTACTGGCTTATATTTTATATTTTGTTATGAACTTGTTACAAAATGTTATGAACTAGGTCCCATGTTTCTTTTGCAACAGAAATGAACCTGGTATAGCTGGTAGGTTTTTTTGTCCTCTCCCCAACAAGTTTACAAGGAAATGTACTTTTGATTAAAAATGGAAATCCATGGTCTCCTGCTGTAAACACTTGTCCCGCATGACAAAATAACATACAGTCTAATTCTTCCATGGTTAGGATGCTGTAACAGCATTAGAGCTCTGCAGCAGTGCCATAAAAGAGAGGGAATATCTTGGGTAAAGATCTCATTTCCTCAGCTCTTACTGAAGAATCAGACTTAAGGATGTTTTTCCTCATTAGAAGTGTACCCCTCACTTAGAATTATCTAACTCTGCTTTTTAGTCACATTTAAAGTTATAAATTACCAGCATCAAGGGCTGCGTTTCACGAAGAAAAACTCTATTGACAGGCAAGAAGTAAGGGTCAGGTTAAAATCTTACTCTGTCCAGGGAAGTGTCTCTTGAGTTCCCTGTAAATGCTTTATGCAGTGCACATCAGGAATCTTGTTTGATGCTAGCATCATGTGGCGGGCAGTAAAAGTGCTTTGGTTTCATTTAGGTGGAGTTCTTAAAAGAAGGATGTGGAGAAGACAACAAATGTCACAGCAATCTGAAACTTCAGTACCGGTTCTGCACTAGAGAAGGAAATGAAGACAGATTTACTTATTTACCTATGTAAGCCTTGATTTATGCACTACTAAAATTCGAATTAATAAGCAGCGCTTAGAAGAACTTTCAGGAGAGGATTTGGGGAGATAGAGCAGCTTTGTTTGTTAGTCTGGCAAACACAGCCCTGTGTAGTACTGATCTGACAGGGTGAGGAAGCTGGGGGTGTGGGGATGAGCTTTAGAAGAGGAAAGGGGGTACAGAGTCAAATGGGTACGAAGTGGCCACAGCTGTGCAGGTGTGGGCTAAAAGTTAGGAAAAACAAATTTCTAGACCCTGGAGAAATGAGATTCTAAACCAGCCTTGCAGTTGTTTATCAAGTGTGCTACTGTTAACTGTTTTTGAGGTGAAATTTGATTGCGAGTATGACAACATGATATACTGTGGTCTGGTAGCCCAAGATAAGCAGTTACAGAGGAAGTTTCACTGTAACACGCACGTAACACCCTGCTGCATCCCTCCTCCCTGGAGGGCCAGTGAAATCAGAAAGGAGGTGTAAAACAAGCAGAAGGATGTATGTTTGCTGTCAAGTCACCTTTAGCCGCGATCTGACTCGGAAGCCAAAAGCGTGTTACTTTACAAGAAAAACACAGGTCAGTGGGTCTATTCAGAGAAAGCTCATCACTGTACGTGAGCCAGGTGCAAGTGCTGGTTCAGAAATACTACAAACTCTTGATTACTTGGGGGGTGTCATCAGCCTGTTCTATCCTGTTAACTGCTGGCCACTTTCAGAGAGGAAATACCGGTCTGGGGAAAAAAACCTACGACCATTCATGTGTTTATGGTCTTACAGTGATTCTTCCCTAATAGAGGGAATTATATTTGGGTAAACCATAGTTAGAAGCAAACTTCCATACACCTTTGTTTACCTAATGCACACAACCCTGTATACTCTGTTTCTGTAGTGAAAATGGCATGCCAGTGCTTGTTCTGAAAGATCAGAAAGATATTGCCCTGGAAATAACAGTGACAAACAATCCATCTGATGCAAAAAATCCACAAAAAGATGGTGAGGATGCATATGAAGCTAAACTGATTGCAACTTTTCCAGACAGTCTGACATATTCTGCATTCAGGGAGATGAGGGGTTATCCTGTAAGTATTTTAAAGAGAAAAGATACTCAAATTTTTAAATATTTTCAGCATATTTTTACTTTTAAATGTATTCTGTTTAACCAGGAAAAACAGCTAACATGTGGTGCTAACCAAAATGGTTCTCAAGCAGAGTGTGAACTTGGAAATCCTTTCAAAAGAAATTCCAACGTAAGTTGCGCCTATTTGACTCAAGTCCTAAGATCTGATTCCTGACTGCAGTCATTCAAAGCTTCTGTGTGTCGTGACTGGAAATCTGTTTTGAATCTGTGTTTTTAACTCTAGAACTTGATGGTGTATTTCTGTAATACTGCATATATTAATATATTTTATAAAATGTTTATTTATTTCATGGATGTCCTTTCTTGTCTAGGTAACCTTTTATCTGATCTTGAGTACCACTAAAGTTAATGTTGATACAACAGACTTGGACATTAATCTGAAATTGGAAACGTGAGTTTTCTTCATGTGTGTGCATGTGCGCTATGCTTTTATATACAGTTGTAGACATTGTGAATTAATTTGTTTGATTCACAAAAGCAACTTAATAGTAAAGTGAAAACTGCTGAATTTGTAAAATAAACAGCATTGTTTTCTTTTCATTGTAGAACAAGCACTCAAGTTGATTCGACTCCAATTACGGCTAGTGCTAAAGTGGTTCTTGAATTGCTTTTATCACTCACTGGGTAAGTGTTGATAGCATAACAAGTGGAGGGGGCTGGGGGTGACAGTTTTGCTACAGACTTCATTAAAATCTGGTTGTTCTCCTTCCCCACCTGAACAGAGTTGCTAAGCCTTCTCAGGTATATTTTGGAGGCAACATCGTTGGTGAGAGCGCTATGAAATCTGAAGATGATATCGGAAACCTCATAGAGTACGAATTCAGAGTGAGTAATTTCGATTAATGCCAACAGCTGCTTTTAATCAAATGAACAGGCTCTCTCTTCATGCATAGGAATACTTGGAGAAGTTGCTGGATTTAAAATTGGCTTTTCTTGTCCCAAGATCCTGACTTCCTGATCAGAACGTGCAGCCTGACTGCAGACTAGAGCTTCTTTAGGCCTTGATGGTTTATGATCATGTTTTGGGAAGGAAGCGGCCTGAGGCTGTCTGTACACTTGTTTTTCAGAGCAGTTCATGCACATTCAGTTGTATGGCATAAAACCCCTTGCAGGCAGGGAACACAACTTAACCCAGGTGTTAGCTGATGGAAGCAGACAGCACGCACGTGTACTTACTGCCTGCGGGATTGAGCAGGCACAAGACACTGTGGGAGGCACTCTGAACGTGTGGGTCTGTTCACTCTTTGGTCTTCTGCCTAATTCATAAGTTAAGGAGAAGGCTGAGAGAGATGATTTTGGTTCTGTAAAATCTCTATTTATCAGCAAAAGCATTGCTACTTCTACATCATTAATGCAAGCCCTGCTGCCTTTGTACATAGTAGTTTGTCAGGATTAAAGTCCATCCCTGTCAATCCTTTACTCCCTTCTTGCCTGCAGGCGTGTGTTGAAGTAGAAGCAGTTAGAATATGTTACAGAACTTGCTATTGTGAACAGTAACACTAAGAAAGCAAAAAACAGGTTGGGGAACAACTTCCAGACTTTGGAGAGCAAGAGCTGGTTATCTTTCTGTGTCAGAGTTCCACATGAACTTGCAATTTGCTTCAGTTATGTAACTGAATGATTTGTTAACTCTCAATTGGCGTTGTTTCACATGAAGATAGGTTTCTAAAAATCAACCACTTAGAGTTCATGTTAGGGAATTTTAATCCTTGTATGTTTAAACTCTGTATTTACTTCCTATCCAAGTTTGCCAGTTTCAGTATATGCTTTGTCTTTATACTTTTGTTTCGACAGGCTTTCATCTGCTTTTAAATTTCCTGTTAGCTGCATGCTTAAAACTTGCCCAAGTCAGTAACACTTGATCGAGAGGAAAATTCCTTTTAAAAGTATTTCACAGTTGAAAGAATGTTTGTTTTAACAGGTAACTAACTTGGGCAGACCCCTGAAAACATTTGGTACCGCTTCTCTGGACATCCAATGGCCGAAAGAAATTAGTAATGGCAAATGGCTGCTTTATTTGATGAGCATAGATTCCAAAGGCTTGGAAAGAGTCTCTTGTCAACCCGAGGAAGAAATCAATAGTTTGCATGTTGTGGTACGTTACTGTCTTCTGTTCCTGGATTAGTACAACATGAAAGCACCGCAGCACGTGATAGCAGGGTGTAAGAACTTGCCTCCAGAAGTACTTTTTTTGGTCTTAAGCAGCTTGCAAGCACAATAGGTGAACCATGTATCAAGGGTTAAGCTTTGTAGGAGACTTCATAATGGCTAAGGAGGATAACGTGCTAAAGGATAGATGATGCTATGTTGTGGTGACAGTTTTTGCAATGGGCACTGTTGTCACATGCTCTCACAGATGAAATTGCTGTTTGCTTTAACACGTTTCATCAGCATTCTTGGTATCTGATTAAGTTCTTACATAGAAAACAATAAATGACAGTAAACATCTCCCCAGCCTGGGGGAATGCAGTGTAATTTTTTAAAGAGAAAGGGCTTGCACTTCAATTTACTTATTTACAACAAATATGGTAAAAAGTATTTCTCAAGCGAGAGATTTGTAGCCCTTCATTGTGCCTATCTAGCAAGACTTTTTTGCTAAACCCCGAGCTTTCATTTTCGTATTTTTTTCCTATAATCTTAAGATCATTTGGGAGGAGTTTTAATTTTCACCATTAACATAAGCCCCTTGTCACATCACTGCATTAGTTAAACCACTTTCAGTGAGTGTAATTGGTATACAGTTAAAGAAAATGCATCTGCTGACCTTAGCACAATCTTATTCTTTCAGCGTAGTAACATTAATACCCTTATATAGAACAAAAATGGAAACAGCATTGAAAGCTTTATAAATCTAAAACCCCCTTGACCTATTAAAGAAAGTAGTCATTTGACCTTTCCTTAGGTAATCTCAAATTCTAGTAATTGTCCTGACTCTACTATCAGCAAGAAATGTTGGTAAGTAGGGATTTATAATGATGTCACTCATACTCATCTTGGAACAAGAAAACATTCACTGAAATCTTTGTTTCTCTGCTTGTATGGGTTCAGAATTAAGAGGTACTTAGGATAAACTACTAAAACTCTTCTTACCTTTTTTTTTTTTTTTTTTTTTTTAGGAATCCCATAACTCAAGAAGGAAACGTGAGGTTGCAGAGAAGCAGATTACAGACAGCAAGGCATTTTCTTTATTCTCAGAAAGAAAATACAAGACCTTGGTAAGCATACTGCACCAATTATAGTTTTGTCAGATAGCTCCCCGCTGCACTCACAAGAGGGCTCTTCTGAGTTTGGCAGTTTGGTGAAAGAAAGTATCTCTTTGCTTTGTTTTTATCTTAAATCCACATATCGATGCTTTTAAAATTCGACCATTTAGACTATCTACTGATGAGAGAGAAATAGGAAAGAGTATCTGCATAGTTACCTACATTAAAATAAAAGGTAACGGTACCTTCATTGTATTTTCCTGTTGCTGTCAGTACAAACAGATTTTAGTTGTTGCCCATAAATACGATGTATATAATCCAATTTTTCATTAGGGGGGGGGGTTAAACAATTTGTGAGGATGTGTTTTTATTTACATGTAAAAATTTGTAATTGCAGGACTGCAACGTGAATGCACACTGTGTGGACATAAGATGTCCCCTGAAGGGTTTAGACAGCAAGGCGTCTATTGTTCTGCGTTCCAGGCTGTGGAACAGTACTTTCCTAGAAGTGAGTCCTCTTCCCTGCCATTTTTGGAAGGTCAGAATTCTCTCCTGTTCTGTGTCTAATGTCTGTGTTCTATTTTGGAACAGGAATACTCAAAAATGAACTACCTGGACATTCTCGTTAGGGCTTCAATCAGTGTTCCTGCTGCAGCTAAGAATGTTAAACTCACAAATGAAGTTGCTCAGGTAGGTTCAACATTTCATGCTAATCATGTGTTACGGTTGTGATGTTTCCAGCTTACCTCAAAAACTGACAAACACCACCACACACCGCCCCCCCCCAACCATTTTAAAACGAAAGTAGCCAAAAGTTTAGCTTTTTAACTGAGTTACTGATAACTGAATTATTGATCGGTTTTACCTTTTAATGGGGTTGGAAAAATTCACTACTGTATTGGAATGATACCAGTAGGAACTTTTTCTCCAAAACGATTTTGTAGATGAGAGAGTAAAGACATCATGTTAGAGAACAGATAAGACAAACTGCAGCTTTCTATTAAACATGGATGCTTTTGAAATGCTCTTCCCATCTTCACCTCCTTCTCTCCTTTAGGTGCGTGTTACTGTCTTTCCTGCTAAACCAGTAGCACTTTATACAGGAGTACCGTGGTGGATCATCTCGGTGGCTATTTTTGCTGGAATACTGATGCTTGCACTGTTGGTATTCTTACTGTGGAAGGTGAGTTTTTATTAAATCTGGTTATTTTACATTTCCTGGTCTACAACTGACAAGACAGCAACCTAATTAAGCAAATGATTAAGTATTTTGGTATGTATTTGGGACTCAAAATAGAGCAAAACTGCCCAAACTGTACATTACCTTTATCAGTTTCTCAGTTTTGCAACATTTGGTTATGTGGGAAGACTTGTTACAAAATTTTTCTGTTTCCACATCCTCAAAAGGGAAGTATTTTAAGCTCTGGGCAAAACTTGAGACAAAGCTTCAGAGACCATAGTTACTTTGATATGGATGGATACAGGTAATTGGGGCTTCTGCCATTAGGGGTAAAACTTCATGTGAACAACCTACAAATGTTTTAGCAGGCCTTTGTTCTCATAACGTTAGAACTACCATTAAACTGACAGCAGGTGAAAATAACCAAAAGGTACAGAAACAGTCTATAGCCAAGTGTGGTGGTGAATTGCTGTAGTATTGGCTTTTTATCTTAAGAAACCTAAAGGAGTAAGTGTGTATAACGAAAGGTTAACAGTTTGCACAACAAGAAAATCAAGTACCTATTTTTCTAACCACCTTTGGTGTTTTTACAACTAATTGTGGTTCCAAGTACAAGAGGGCAGTCCTTTTAGTCGTCATTTTTACAGGCATACACAGCCAGTATTTGCTGTTATGGGCAGCAGAAGCTTATTAAGAAAGCAGAGGTGAAGAAGAATTTCCTATGTCATTTACATTCTTCTGGAGAAACTGCAGCAATTGTCTTTGCTGAGGAGCTACTATTTGCCGCAGGTTACTTCTCACAGGATGGTTCCGAACTCCCTATTTTCTAATAAATACCCAGCACCTGCTTCAGTTCTTCCTGAAGAATTAATACTCTGGATGGACTGTCAGGCTATAACTACTAGTGCACATTTACTTACACACATTTTCACACGTGCACACAGGATAAAATGTTTCTTTTGATGACAGACACCGTTTGTCCTTCACAGGACGGCATGTGGTATTTCAAAGACAGTTACGCGACTGGTTTTAAGACAAATGCCTGTGCTGTACAGGTCAAAGCAGTACTCGTTTTTGTTCTACCCTCTGTTTTTGTCTATGCTGTGCACTAGCCCACAAACAGGTTTCTGTACAGACTTTCTGCTCTTCACAGCCAGCTTTAGTTGCTGTGGGCATACTTTATAGTAGCTTTTCTTAAAAAAAGAAAACCAACCCAAACCAGATGCATTACAAATTTATCAAAATGCGTTTAAAATAATAATCTTTACCTTGGGTTATTCTATTATTTTGCAGATTGAGTTAGTCCAAGAAGTTCTCAAATCTAGAAACAGCTGAGTTCTTGTGATTTTTTTTTTTTTTTTTTTCAGGCCTGTGAAGGGATAATGGGAGGACAGTTCAGAGTTAAATTAAGTCAGTTTTAATAGGTTTGACTTCTCCAGTCCACAAAAATTGACTAAATACCTTGCTTCCTTGTAGTGTGGTTTCTTCAAGAGAAATAAGAAAGATCATTACGATGCCACATATCACAAGGCTGAGATCCATGCTCAGCCATCTGATAAAGAGAGGCTTACTTCTGATGCATAGTATTGATCTACTTCCATAATTGGTAATTGATGACATTTTTTAATTTTTAGCTATGGCACATGCTGTGGTTGCGGTGGCTAACTACGAAGCTTTTACTGCATACGTTCTATTAACTTCTGGATTTCAAACTACTGTACTTGCTTGCTCGTTCTGTTGATAGATGTTCAGCTTTGGGTGCACGTGAACACACACAAAGGTGTTTACCTCGGTCTAGAAAGCTTCCTGTTTATTTCTTTAAAAAACATCTTGATCTGTTGCAATGGTTTTTAGTCTTTTTATTTATGTTTTAACAGTACAAGTAAGTTTTTTAAACTTGAGAGATGGTAGTCAACACTGCGGAGTTAAGATTTAAAGCTGAGACTACATGGATGACAGATAAACTTTGCTCTACTAACCTTTAGTGCATGCTAAAAGATACATGCTGCTTATAATGAAAGGGGTTTTCGTAATGAGAATTTAATTGCTGTGGAAAAATCTGTTTTCTTTTAATTCTAAGGTATACTTTTCTAGGAACAACATAACTTTCCTCTGCTGAAACTACTTGCTTGATGATTCATGCTTCTAGCAACCTTTATTTAACTTAAGACATTACATGCATGTACATTGTATTAATAAGTGATGCTTGGGATCAGGGGGTGGGGAGGAATTCTTAAGTAAAATATGTCAAAACAGTGTTTAATGAAATCTTGACTAAGAGATGGCTAAAGATTTGGTCTATGCCTGGATGTAATTTTTTTTAAAAATCAGTTCCATGTAAGTTCTAATACTATTTTTTTAAAAAAACAGACAAAACCAAAAAACCCACCACCCCAAATACAAACCCTTGCCCCTTTAGTCTTTTTTTTTTCTGGCAGTATCTAATGGCAGCTGGATGGCACAATGTCTCTTAACCTTCATCTTGACATCAGTGACCCATAAGCATGTAAAGTCAAGTGTCTATCAATCATCATCCTTGTAACTCCATTTTGTTTTGAAAATTAATTTCAGTCCATTCCTCAATAGTTAAAAATCAATTTTCACAGTGGCTTTGAATAAAAAATTGCAGGGCGCACATAAGCTGTACTAGAGTTCATCTGGGGAGACTTGCGTTGTGGCACATTACAAAACTTACAAGTTATGCCTGGTTTTTATCCTATGGCAAACTAAGCCAGACTTTGTGTCCTCATACTGCATATGGGTAGTTAGCTCAGGTGACTGTAGTTGAGATGGTTCTTTGAAAAACAAGGCCCTAGTTAACTTTTTCTGAAGGCCCTGGAAATCTTTCTATAGGTTTTTAAATGTAAATCACATCACCGTACAGGAAGGTACACACCTACCTTTGATTCAGAAGCAGCAAGCTTTCCTGAACTATATCTACTTCTTTATGTAGCTTTAAATTCTCTCATTATATGAATAAACAGCTTTAGAAGACGACTTAAAACACTTGTAAAACAAATTTAGAAAGATAGCGGAGGGAATGTTTTAAAGTTACTAGATTACTGGATTGTCAGACTATGCTATTTGTCTTCAACTGCTGCTGGAACAACTAATGTAGACCTGCGGGCCCACATTTTTATAGCTACATATGTAGGCAAAAAATGTAGCATATTTTTGTTTTCAATTTTCTTACCTGTATGTCTGTGCAAAGGAAGAATTTGTTGATTTATTGCCGCTATAATTGTAGTACCTTGGCAACAACTTAAATGTAAACCGTTCTTTTTCTTCTCTGCCCCAGTGCGGGTTCTTCCAGCGTTCCAGGTACGAAGACAGTGTCCCCCGATATCACGCTGTAAGAATTCGAAAAGAAGAGCGACAGATCAAAGATGGGAAGTGCAGAGATCTTGAGACAAAACAGTGGTTCACAAAATGGGATGAAAATGAAAGTTATTCTTAGGGAAAAATTATTTTCATCCACCCAGTTCAGACAGACGTTAAGGTTTTCATTAATGGAATACTGATGGAGTTAGACCTATGAACGCTACGGACATTCACCATTTGATTGTAGATATTACTACTTACATTGAGGCTTTTGTTTGCACAGTTAAAATTGCTTCAACAGACTTTTATTTGCATTATTTAATTTCCAGACTGCCTCTTTTCCCCCTTCAAATCTAACTCACGCTTTAGAAGATACTGTGTTGATTTGGGGTCTTTTCTGCAAAATATGCAAAACCACTACCGCAGACCTTTTCCTGTCATCCTAACCTCCCTCCTCGGTATGCAAGGAATGCCTGGGTAAGGTCAAGACAGGTTCTCCATCCTTCCATCAACGTGCAGTCCATTCCAAGCACACAGTGGCCTTAACATTAGTTCAAGTATAATCCGAAGACCTGCAAACCTAGTCATAAATTTTGCCTGCTGCAGTAGTTAGGGCTTAACAAAAAGCATCATCTTAAATTACATGTGCAATAGGTCATGTTGCTCTTTTTTTTTTTTTAAGATTGTGTGATTCTTGCTCACAACAAATATACACAGTTTTTTTAAAAGAGAAGCTTGAATATTAGATGTACTTTTTGTATATATACATTTTAGTCATTTTTGTATTTATTTTTGTTATAAATCATTGTCTCTGACTAACTGTTAGGCCAAAGACTTAACTGAACCTTCAAATCCACTGTGTTGTTGAACTTCAGATTGTGAGACCTGAGGCTTTCACTGCATTTTAATAAATCACTGAAGGTGCCAATGCTTTCTAAAAATGTAAATATTTATTCCAGTGATGTGTATGGGGGCTTTCTTTTCTTGAGACTTGTAACTTTATGTAATAGGAATTGTCAGGTCTTGTAACATGATTTGTATATTACTTCAGACTATTTAACGATTTGGACACCAAGCAGAAGTAGGGGTTTTAGACACAGTTTTATACTTACTGCAAGAAGTGAGGGGTTCTCTGGAAACTGCTTTCCAGCTTCAGAAGGACTTCCTGTTTGGCAAAAGGCATTGACTACTGCAACTGTTATATAGCACTTGAAGGAGGCTGTAAACGCCCAACTTACCGTAACTGCAGGGATCTGAGCTGATCCACGTTGAGACTACTGAATCGTCTTGAATACCTGAATGTTGGTAAAAGTAGAACCACAATGTTGTGTTTATCAGTAATCTAGTTATTGTAACATAACTGATACAAATATTTAAAGAGTTTACTTTTTTTACCCATGTTGTAAAGCTTTGGTACTATTTAAGAACGAAGATTTAAATTCACAATTGTTTATCCCATGTGAAACAAAATTCTACTCAAGTATGCACATTAATTGCTAGTAATTTGAACTATGCAAAAGCCTCTTGGTACTTTTTCCCCTCATAGGGTAAAAACCTGCTAGGAAGGCAGCTGTCAAGTGTCTTATTTTACTACTAACTTTGAATATACCTTTTTGGAAGGTGTGGTCACCTAAAAAGCTATCATTATAGAAAATGCATTAATTTAATAGACTCTTCTTCCTTCCTCTAAGTAATCTCAGTATGTTGTGACCCTGATTCTATGAACATTTACACATGTATGTAGCCGTTACCAAGTTTTTGAGCTTTTCAAATTCTAGCGTATTTGCTGAAAGTCTCAGCAGCATCAGAAGCCGGGCTAATTGGAGGCTAAGAAGCTTGACAAATAGCCTTGGATTTAAAAGCAGATTGTGGCCCTCACCTAACAACATGAATGTCTTAGCAGTGTTAAACTGAAAGTTCTTGAAAAATAAGTCATGTCACTGGTATACTTTCATCTCAAACTTTTTTATACCAGCTAGCAATGCTACATCAGTTCATGATTAGAAATTACCTGTGGATATTTGTATAGAAGTGTGAAATAAATTTTTTTTTTAATTAAGCATTGTTTTGGTAATAGTGATTTCTTGTAACTGACTGAGGTAGCCATAGCTTAAGTTCACTATGCTTTAAGAAATTGAGTCAGACACGGGGCTGGCAGAGCAGGCTCTGGCCAAGCACCACGCGTCAGCGCCCGTGGAGCGGAGCTACCCTCTCCCTCCACACTTCACTCACGCTGCCCAGGGTACCTTCAATGCAAGCAGTCTTCCAAGAGCTCCCATGCCACATGGGTGTGTTTGTAACTAGGGGAGCTGGATGCAGGCCCCAAAATCAGTCAAGGACCACATACCTATCTTTACTTAGCAGTGAAAGCTTTGATACTGACAGTCAATTACATGGTTGCAGGGTACAGCTTCAACTCCACACAAAAAAACCCCAAACCCAGAAAAGCCAGAAAGATCTTTCAAGGCATGTGAAAGATGTGGACTCAACCTGCTTGTATTAAACAATTATTTACATAACTACACCCACCAACATTTGTCCACAAGACAAAAAATGGACTGGGAGAACAGTTAAGTGGCTGATCAGAGGAAGTATTGTACAAATATAGCATACTAGGTTTTATATATGCTCATATATACTATACACATATAGTACTAGATGTAGTATATACTATATACATGGTGGTACAGTACTATGCATACTACTGTATATAGTACGTGTATATGTGCATATATAAAACCTAATGTACTATATTAGCTCTATATAGTGAGAGTGTGTGTATATATATAAAAAAATATACACACACTATATAGCCTAAGGTACATAAATAGAATGCTAGTGAACTGCAATACCTTCACATATATTTAACTGTCACAGCACAGGAAACACATCTGATGAGAGAAGCTTTTGTTGTAAGGGGCCATCAGAGCAGTTTCAGTAACCACCTGTGCAGAAGTATGCGGCAGAAGAGGCAGCACAGTGTGCTTGGACACAAATGCCAGGAATGGGCACATAAGGTGAAGGGAGGCTTTTGAAAGCGGCACTAGAACCCCAGTCCCCATTCAGAGCACCCACATTACAACACTAACCGTCACTGCAGCAGCATCTTAACTAAAATAAGATGCAGGGCCTGCACAGAACCAGAGCCCTGCTTATGTACAAACAACTGAAATAACTTCTCCCAGCACAGAGTAGGTGAGAGTGTCAGCAGTCAGTTTGCAAAACCCAGGACAACAAACTGGTGGACCAAACAGGCAACTGCAGCCAGTGCTTGGAGCCAGAGGCAGCACGTGGACACGCTTTGGCTGGCGTGCCAGACAACACACCCGTGTGCAACAAGAAGAATGCGAGCAGTCTATTTCCCTGTGGTGGCAGCGTAAACAGTTGCTTCAGTTTTTATCCCAGTCCTCAGACATCTTTAAATGTCCATTTCTCTTCCCAGCCTGTGGATTCGTATTTAATACTATACACCTTTTACAACTCCATAAACCTTGCTGGAGTCCTGACCATGATCCTCCATGAGAGCCTGCCACAGAAATCGGCCTTAATCCCCAGTGAAAAAAAACCACACCAACTCCTTACCCTGAGAGAGCCTGCCACAGAAATCGGCCTTAATCCCCAGCCAGGGTATGAAATTGTCACTGTACAGGGGTGGGGGAGCTGCAGTTTGTGCTTTCTATACTCGAAGGCAGACCCCTTTCCTCCTTCATTTTCTAGATCTGCAAATGGTTGCAAGCAGCGCCTTTTCAGGGCCTCACCTGTCTCGAAAAGCCTAGAAGACAAAGGCAGAGAACTGAGTTTTTGATAAGCAGAGATGTCCTTGTGCTGCTTACCTATGACAGAACAACATATAACGCCCCCTCGCCATCGGTACACAGTGCTAACTATTCATTTCCTCTTCCCTCCCAACCTCAGTGTCTTCAGGGAATAGAGGAGGAAAGGACAGAAAAGTCAAATAATTTTGCCAGGAGTGTATGAAGTAATGCAACCGCTAAGTTGATTAAAAAAAAATGTTTGTGGGATATTGCTTGGTTTCTTGACCTAGAGGGGGGATGAACAGTTAATGTCACAGAGCTGAGCAGCATACCATTGCCAGGCAGCTTACGAGACAGCCTGTGCCTCATTCTGGCTTAGCAAGGAAAAACAACACAAAAATAGCCATCCTGGATGAGATCACAGATCCACCTGAATTAGCACCGCACCTCTGATGGTGGTTAAGCACCATGATGGTGATACTTTGCTGGTTTTGTCCCACAAAGAGATAGTGCTCAACTTCAGTAGCTATGTAGTATATTTTTCCCCACAGAAGAAAAAGCCATCCATGATAATCAGTTAAAAAATTTCTCCGACTGCTTTCTGATCTTGAGTCACGATTTGTACATGGCAAAAATTCACAAACTCAAAAATGTAATTATATACTGGATAAAAATAAATAAGCCCATCTGTATGCTCTTCTAGAACCTGCTACAGTTTGCTAACTCATACAGAACGCCCTCCATATTGTTGATCAACTTTGTTGCCATTTTTTATATCTCTCTATTTCTACTCCTGCAAAAAAGATACTGAAGCCACATCAAGCCACATCCATTTTGTAGCACAGCAAAAGCAGCTGAACTTACTGACAAAAACCTAGGAACAACAACAAGCCTTTGTGCAGAATAAGTACACAGGCTGAAAAGAGACCCGGACAGATGGACCTGATGACTGTGCAGGCATCATAGCCAAGCATATAAACCACTGAAAGACAGACATAGTCTATGGATATCTGCATCTGGCAACTTCAGGTTTTTTCTTACTGGCAATTTCAGTTTTTTTCTTAATCTGTGATGCACCTATTTTGGAGGAAAGAGAGGAAAAGAAAGAGGGGGGCGGGGTGGGGGGAAGTACATGCAGCAACCAAAACCAGTGACTTCCAGGAAAGGGTTATTTATAGTATCACTTCAACAAACCACAAACTCCTTCTATGGAACACCCTGCAAGAATGCTATGCTTCCAATTATCTTATTAAACCTTAAATGCCATGTTAAATTTTAAACTGAAAACAAAAATTAAAATGTAATTGCTTAGGTTAAAACTAAATGCTATGTTTTCAATTATCTTGAAATCTGATTTGTTTGGTCCCATTTAAAATACGCATCCAGGTGTATTAACTTCAGCAACACCAATAACCAGGAATATGAGTAGAAAAACGCCAAATGACAAAAAATAATGCACCACTTCTTTTTGGTTTGCATAAGAATTTACAGAAATTGGCACATCAGAACTCCAGCTAGTGTCACACTGGATCAGATCAGAGTAAACCCCCAGAAGATCATCAATGAGAGAAACAGGTTTTAAAAAGGGGGGGGAAGGAGCAAGAGAAAAATAATTTAAAATATTCTCCAGTATTTCAACAGAACACGTTTACATGGATCAGTATCTCCTCAGTAGTTTAAACAAGACCAAGAAAACACCTTCAGGTAAACGGAGAGGGTTTGTTCTGCTCTGAACACAGCATTGAAAGAATTATCCACAATTCTTTATCCACAGTTACCTCTGTGACTGCTCATCCCGCGTGACTTCCCCTGAGAAAAGCGCTCACTGTTTACACAATCGAGAAGGTCTCCAGCTTACAAAGTGCAATGATTTATTTAGCCTCTGACAGCCCCTGCCACGACTTCTGGCTGCGGACTGCTATCCAAAGACATTAGGCAGTGGGCCAGTTGCTAAGGCATGCCTCAATGTCAAACCATCAGGCATCAAGACAGTAACATACAGACAGAAAAGATGAAGCCAATCCAGAGCCATCAAAAGAAATCGCAACAACCTACAAATACCCAACTTACTGCTTGTAGGCACTGCTTTAAATTAGTGCTGGCCCCCAACCGAGAGGCCATTATAAAATGGTTTTAAGCACAGCAATTCATTAGTAGGAGTCCCAAACTATCACAAACTTGAGTAGCTACTATTTGGTGCTTCTGGGGGTGGCCTACAAGCAGCAATAAAGCAAAAACTGCCAGTAACCTGTATTTGTAGACTTGCAGAGACAGACAAGCTGTCAGTTAGCCCCGTTAGCCACCGCTCCCTGGCCAGAACAGAACAAGCCATTCATTTTTTGGCACAAGATGGAGGTACAGTCTGATTATAAATCAGATGAAGCTGTTACTGCTCAGAAAATTGCCTCTGGAGGCAAACTGAATCAATCTTTTCTGTATTTCAATGCAACATTAAAAAAAAAAAAAAAAAAAAAAAAAAAGAGCCCTTAATGCATTATGGCATTTTCACCTCTAAAATGGGAGGTTCCAAGCAATCCAACAAAGCACCGAACAGATTCCTGCTCCAGTGGCGGCCATTGGATATCCATCCCTGCTATCAGGTCATGGACAAGTCACAGGTACAAAGCATGTTTAAAGGAACCCGAGCAATATTTAAGAGTTGATTTCCTATGATAAATTTATGGGGCAAATACAAGTATCCACAATAAAAGAAGCAAAACATATGGCCCCAGACCCACTATTTCACTGTATTGTATACAGTTTTGAATTACAGAATCCAATATCTACACTGCACTAAGTTTATCAAAAGCTTGTAATTACTCTTAGCTGCCTTTTCTGTTAACGTTCTGGATGTGGTTACCTGAGTAGGACAAGAAACTATTAAATACCACTTTGGTACCTCACATAGTGTAGTACTAACAGCTGGTAAAGAGATTTAGTGTGACATACGGTCCAAGTACTTTTTAAGCAAATGAAGACATGTATTGTGTTGACCAATCGGGAGGGAGTACACCTCTAAAGGCAGAAGCCCTATTTTTCCTCTGTATTTTTTTGTTTCTCTTTTTCCTGGTAGCTGGAACAGAAGTTATCCCTCCCCTCGTTCTTCTCACTGTAACACAGCGCAGGGCGCGAAGGGCTGCAAGATGCCCAGACCGTCTGGGCAGCTGAGCAGCCCCAAGGTGCGCACCTAAGAGAACACGCGGCAGCGAAATCGCGGTCCGAGCCCCTCAGGTGAGGCCAATCGCGGTTTAAACCCCGCAGGTGAGGCTCTGCCCTCTCGCCGGCCGGCAGCGGTGCGAATGGAGCCGGTACTTTTGTGGGTTGCTGCTCCCTCC